AGCCCCTCCTGCTTTGCCTCCTCTCCATCCCCCGGTGCCGGGGCTACCGTACGAAGCCCCTCCCTGCCCGTCCGTCCGCCCCCGTTTTCTACTGGTCTCCAGACCTCACCCCACTTTTCCCCCCGGCCTGTGGGACTGAGGGCAGGGTGGCAGCGGCCGGTCGGTGGGGGTCGTAGCCGAGGCCGGGACAAAGCTCCTGGTGCCGGGGAGCATGCGGTAGGTGCTGGGGAGGTGGTGGGTAGCTTACTCTCTCTGCTGAGGGGCTCTGACAAAACGTGCCTCTCCAGCGTCACGTTAGCCTTCACAGGGCCTCTGGGGAGAGGTGGGTGGGTCGCGTCTCCGGGCGGGGGACCTAGGGCTTCACATCAAAACCCCTTTCTCCCCCTTGCTCGAGGTCAATGTGCTTCTTCATTCGGACAAAACGTGGGGAGTCTTAGCATGGCCTAGTGTGGCTTCCAGTGCTGTAGCTGAAGTTCTCACCTACTTTTAATAACCAGCTCCATAGCTGAAGTTTTCATCACGTCTGTCATGCTGAGAGACTCCGAAGCGCTTATGCATGTTGTGCTTGCAAAAATAAAATTATTTTAGCAGGAGTGTGGGTGGGTGATCTGCAGGGTATTCACAACCATGCGACAAGAGAAAGGAAACCATCTCTGACAGGTGAAGTCCTGTTCTAATAAATTCAGCGGGCTCGTTAGAGATCAGAGGGCAGAAGGGCTTTGTAACAATGACTTGGTGAGAAAACCAAATTTGATTCTGGTCAGGAGATTGGATTACGGCTGGCCAGAAAGAGGGGAGCAAAATAGAGCCTGTAACTCAATGCCCTCGCCAAGTGGCAGAAAGGATGCCGGCGGCAGGCTGGCAGCAGAAGCGAAGCGCTCGCCCTCTCCTCTTGCCAATACCATGAGACTGCAATCATAGGAAGCCTCGTGCCGGGTGGCAGAGTTAATTCCGGCACTCGTTAAATCGTTCCATGAAGGGACATAGCTTGTGTTTCAGGAACTGATGATAGCTGTGGCCTTGAGTAATGGTTTAAAATTGTAGGGCTGTTTAAATCCCAGCCGTCAGTTGTCTTTCCTCTCTGTCCTTTCAGCTCGTACCTTTTAGGTGTTCTTTTAAAGCCCTTAGAAGGAAAAAACTCTGTCACCTGCCTTTTCTCACATCCTTTTCCAATCCAAACTACTGAGAATTTGTGTTCATAAACTCAGTGGTGCTCGTGCCGCTGAGCAGAGAGATTTCTTGAGGACCCACTGCCACACTTGCAGCTGCTTTTGCAGTTGTCGGCGCTTCGGATGTCTGCAGAAGCAGTTGGAGCAACAAGAAAAGCGATCTGTCTGCGGCAGGAGTTCTTACGTAAGTGGAGAGACAGGAGCTGCCTTCTGGCATCCATCGTGGTTTGGAAAGGTCATTTTCAAACCCTGCCCGGCAGGAAGGAGACCCTCTGCTGCTGCTGGTGGCCGCAGGAAGCAAAAAGCTGAGTGGGGATGGAGCGGAAGAAAGCCCAGCCTTGTTTTTCATGGACTGAGTGGATGCCAGTGCAGTTGGTGAGTGCAGGCTCTCCATGCTGCTACAGAAATCAAAGCAGGTAGGCAGGTTGAAAAAAGAGGAAGAGAGGGCAGGAAGAAGCTCAGCTGTAAGAGCAGGCAGCGTGACTGACTCACTGTTAGCAGTTGAAAGAGATTTTGGGGTGCACGTGCTGTTCTCTGTGCCTGAAGCATGCTGCAGGCATTGTGCAGGGGAGCCTGGGAGCTGCCCTAACAAGGTGGGCCTTCTCTTGAAGGTGTGAGAGGAAAAACTGTGTGCAGGAAAGGCCTATGAGCTGGCCTGGTCCTGTCCTCGCAGGTTTTTGGTTTTTTTGTCTTAAGGAACTCCGTTTATTTTCTTCCTCCTCCTATATCCTACTTAGTGTGGGTCTGTGGTGGCATGAAACGGATCCCAACATAAAAGTGCAAGATGTGATAGTCTTGGTCAGAACTGGAGGAATATGCAATAAAATGTGAGACCAGGGAGCAGCTGTATACATACTCTTCTCCTAATACTTTATGCAGTTGAAAACATGTGTTGTTTTGTTGTTTTTTTTTTCAGACCCTTCAAGCATGTCTCTGAGGAAACAGTAGAGATGTTTCCAAGAGATCCATGGTGGGCTTCTGAGATACATTGCCTGCTTCTTGGCATGTAATTTTTCAATATTCCACCCAGAGGGTGTTTCTTAGGACAGAAAGTACGTCACGTTCTCAGTGCTGGTCCTTTTTTGTGTGTGTAGTTTTTGGTGTTAGGCTGCAGACTTCTACTCTAGAGCTTAAAGAACGTAGTTCTCCATAAGAGGCAGTTTTGGGCTGACCAGAGATGCTGTAGCCTCCTGGTTATAACGTCACTTCATTTATCTCTTGTGGATCTGCTTTCCAAAACAGGCAGCGCTAAAATCTCAGTAAGTTGAGGGAAAACCCCCCCAAAACCTGACAGAGACCTTCTGCTTTGGTTTGGTCAGTTGGGTAGCTGTAAAACACATCCTCAAGCACTTTTTTTGTTTTTTCTTTTCCGGTTTTTAACACAGCTTCTGTTTGTCTTTTAGTCTTCTGTGTCGTCAGAATTACCCAGTGCTTGCCAGAAAAAGGAGCAGCTCCTTGGGCATGTGCCACCGCCCGAGTGACCATATGCTGAGCAGATGCCCTCTGCTCTAGCAGCTTCACCTACTCCAGGCATCCCACAGGCGCAGCAATGTTAACGCTGGTGCAGCAGAACTCAGTGGGGCCTCTAGATCTACGTTACCTCATTGCTATCTAATTAAATCTTCAAAATGTCTATGAAATGGGGAGGGGTTTGTTTGTCCCTGAGTTACAGATGGAAAACCGGCATGTGAGTAATGAGCGAGTTGTCTAAACTACGAGTAAGGATCGAAGCACCAGGCTTCAAAGACCCAGTCTGGGTTAGTAAACACTAATATGACTTAATGCATGGCTCGTTTTTCTCTGGTGTGGCCTAACTGCCTTTAGGGAAGAGGGAAATCACAAATGAAATGTTGGTTTGTGACATCCCAGTCTGTTTACCTGGTTAATCTAAAAATTAAATGTCAGGTGGGAAGCTGGGCTCCAAAATTGGAGTGGAAGCCACGTGTCCAGGGTCATGGGTAATTCACAGCCCTGAATTGGCGCTCTTCAGCTGGATTGATTGCTTATTCCTTCACTGACTAGAATTTGATTGTCGTCTTAATGAGTAACTTCAAATCAGAATCTGTGTAGATAAAAACATTAGTCTGGCAATCCGCAAGAGTTTAAAAAAGTGTCTGTGTGTGTCCTTTTTTCTTTTTTTTTTTCCACTTCAGTTTGCGATGGACAGTTTGCAGGGCAGTTAGCTCCCATCTCCTGCCTACCTCCTCCTTGCTGGTGCTTAAAACTTGTCCTGCTGCAGTCCAGAGTCTAGGTCCCTTGGTTAGACTGCGCCTTGCTTCACCGATCGCCAGCAGAAAGAGAAACATCCCCCACCGTGTTGTCTGATAACCGACCGCTTGGGGAGGATGCGAGCAGCCAAACGTGGGTGACTGAACTTTGTCCCTCATGTGTGGGGATGGGGATTGTCGCCTGCTTGTGTCACGGTGCTTCGTGAGGACCTGAGGTTTGGAAAAAAAACCAACAAACCCCAAACCCCTCATTTCTGTCTCTAAATTGGTCGACATGCGAGTGGTGGAGAGGGCTGCCCACCTGGGATTTCACCCTCCAGCAAAGGCAGTGCGTTCACTGGTTATAATGGGCTGAGTTGAGGTTTTTGGCTGGTATTGCTTTGAGTTGCTAAATGTGATCAAAGTACAGAGAAGTCAAAAGGGAAATATTATGGAGTGTAACACTGTGACCTCCGGTCCGCTATCTGCTTGTGCGATCGGAGGACGAGTTAACAGGGTTTTTGGCATGCAGGATCTGTACTTTGGAGGCAACCCATGAGGATAACAGCGGATTTTTTTGATGTCAGGGCTGTGGGAATGGGTTTTGACTTCACAGACCAAAATGATTTTTGTAAAACTTTTACTGAATGTTTCCTTTAGGTGTTTGTAATTGGCCAAAAAAAAAAAAATCTTGAAACTAGGAAATGAAAGTTTCTGTTTCTGCTGGTCAGCATTGCTTAGGCAGAGGTAGTTTATTTGATGAGAAAAGCGATGCTTATAGGTTGGGAATGAACACCTTAATACTGCGAGGTGAGTATCGGTTTGGGGATACTGCAGCAAGTCCTGCGTGGCCCTGCCCGGGTCACTCTGGAGCGGTCTGCATTTTGTACCTGCTCTCACAGACCTTGATGAGCATCTGGATGTGCTGACGGACCCTGCACGGGGACGTGGGTGTGGAAGGCAAGGGTGAGCCCCTGGATTAAGGGACGTTCCAATGCCTTTGCGAAATAACATGAAAATCAGAGGGTTTTCAATAGGTTTTAGCCTCTTAATTTTTTTATTTTTTTTTAGATTGGTAAGGGGCTTAAATATATTCCTGATCTGGATCTCCAAGGAGAGTCTGCCTGCCGCAGGAAGTGCAGCAGGTGGGGAGGGAGAAGAAGCTGTAGCCCTCCCAAATGCTGTCTCCCTTTCCACAACACGTCTGTGCTGGGAATACCGTGTGGCGCCTGCCAGGCTTGGTCCCAAAAATACTCTCGTGTCTCATTTCTCAATATCCTAGCTGCCGAGAAGCGTTATCTACCTATGGAAGATGTAAATGCCAGCACAGCTTAAAAGCATCTGCGGCTTTCCTGGGTACAGTCCGTTGCCAGGATTTAACGTAAGCGAGAACTTTGAGAATTAATTAACGGAGCAGTCTGATTCCCAATAGCCTCAGGAATTGGAATGTTCCAGTAATTAATAGAAGATAAATTAATCTTTGGAGGAAAGACCTAGGTAGCTAATGCTAGTCAGCTTGGAGATATATCAGGATTATCTACTTCTGCTCTTACTTGGTGGTGTTTTTGGTGAAGTGGTGAGTCAGATATCTGCAGCTCTAAGTTGTTGGGTACCCGTGAACACCTTTGGTAACCTCAGATGTTAAAATCTATTTCCGCCCCCCCCAAAGAGGAGAACACAAGCCAGGCCTTGAAGTTTATCTCCTGTCCTTTAAAAAATGCCAGAGTATCTGATGGTGCTTTTAATAAGCAGATGAGGCTTTGTTTTTAATGTTGACACAGGAGGATGCAACTCTAGCCTAAACTCCCTCTTTCTGGGTTTGATCTTACACGTTATTTGAGAGAGCAAGGGTAGAAGGTTGTGTTCAGGAGTGATCCAGTAAATACATCAAAGAATGCAGTTAATAGTTTTCTCAAGCTGCATATTTGAAGTGTTATCAAATCTCTAGAAGTGCACAGCTTCCTTTATCGGTGGCTATCCTGTGCTCTGGTAGGAGGGCTGGTAGGTATCTCCTCTAGATTTCTGCAAAGTAATTTTGGAGGTAGAGGGGGAAATCTTCTCCTAGTGTAAGGGATTTGTAGGAAGGCCAAGATTCTGCCTTCCTTCAAATGTTCAGTCATGATTACTCATAAACCTGGAATGAAAAATAGCCAGCAGTTATCTTGTTATTCCTTCCTCCCCGTATCAGCAGAGCTTGGAGCTGCTGTTATTTAGTCTATTTAGAGAGTCTTTGCTGGTGAGGATGCATGGGATAGTTCTTTATACACATTACAGTTATTCCAAGAAAGTTCCTTAGACAATATCTAGGGCTGACTTGGGCCTCTCTCTGCTTGTGCTTTGCAGTACACTGGAGAACCATGTTTGCTTGGGGTGGTGCCTAGACCACCCTGTGAAATCGTGATCCATAGGAGCCAGGCTCCAGGGGCACCCCTTCCTGAAGGGCACGTTTCTGGGGTGTTGGGTGAGCATCTATCTCCAGCTCTCCAATAACATCATAAAATTATCAGCTGTGTCGGTGGGGTTCTTTAGGATGACAGACTGTAGGAGCGTCGGATCTAAGCAGCAGGTTTGTGTCTTAGTGTCTGTGTCTGACTGCTTTCTGAGAGGTATTTTATTGATCCTTTTAAGCATTGCTGTTTTTCTCGGGGTTGAAGGGTAGGCAGGATGGCTGTGATGGGGCTGGAGTTCAGTTTCCATTACGTCCTCATCTACAAATGCAGCTTAAATGTCAAAGAACAGTGTCTTCTTCGTGCTGTTTGTTTGGGTCCTTTTTAGTATCTAGACAGAATAGCACTAAAAATAGTTTGTTGAGATTCTTTACTAATCTTTGGGGAGGGTGTTTTGAACGGGGGTGTAAATGAGGCTTAGGTTTTTGGTTATATAAATAAGTTTGTTTGGGAAATGAAAGCTAGGAGAGCGTCCTAAGAAGATTAATAACTTTTTTGTACGGCGTGACCTGCCCAGCTTTTGGGTACATGCAGCGTGATGTCCTCGAATGCCAAATGTAATTGCCTCTCCTGTGAGCTCGTGCCTTTGGGTTGTTGTAGTGCTTCTGGCACTTGCCCTGTAAGTCAGGTCCTAATTTTATCTCATTACCCACACAGCTTGGTGACAATGTGACATAGCAGTGGAAAGAGAATGACATCAGGAGGCGAATAGATTGGTGGGAGAGCAGTGGCAGGGATTTTTTTTTGTTTATTAAGAATAAGCCATGTTGTGTTTCTGCTTTTCAAGCTTGTAAATTCGCAGTGTGATCCCTGTCACAAACTGCTCGCTGTGTGAGGCCACTAATGTCTTGGGTTGTTTTTGCAGGGTGATTAAGAGCTGCCCGTTTGAATTGGCAATGCTCTCCCTCTTCAAGCGCCTCCCTACCTACAATTCCAAACATAGTAGTATTAAACACCAAGAGTTTGCAGCGCTGTGGCTTTTGCTGAGAAAAGATGGGGTCAATCCCTGCATTTCAAGAGAAAACAACTTCTAACACATCAAGGGTGTGTGTGAGGTGGGGAGCTGCTTTTTTATGCTAGCTGTCCCCTTTGAATACAAAAGAAGACTTTTTCTACCAAAGAGTTCAGTGAATGTCTGGAGGCAGCTGGAATCCCCTCGGCAGCACTGGGAATTACAAGGATCATATAAGACTAATGGTTGTTTGGATGGGGTGAGAGCAATACGTGTATATTTGGTGGGGATGATGGGTTTATGTTATTCTGCCAGGACTTCTACGTGTGGAGGAAGCCTCTTGTTCTGCAGAGTACATAGTGGTTCTAACAGCTGCTGATGTTGTAATTTAGAGGATATTTTAGCTGCCTGTTGCTTTGCTCCTTGGTGAGGAGCTCCCCAGGCACCGAGCAACTTATGAACCAGGACCGTGCGCGTTCGCTTAGTGACTGCTGGCAATTACGGAGGGATGAGAGGTGAAAATATCGAGTGTTTTGCAAGAAGTGGACTCCATAGGAGTAGGAAGGAGTGAAACTGAGACTGTAAAGGGCTCGTTTGGGGAGAGGTGTCACGACGGCAGAGTTTGAAGGATTCCTTCAAGTAAGTTTGTCTGTGTTGAGCAAATTAAAAGAGCTGGGGTTTGGTGGTGGTTTTTTTTTTTTTTTTTTTTTGGTAGGGGAAGCTGCAGGTTCTGGTGTTGGAGGATGCAATCGGAGGCCGTCTGGTGTATGTGAGGGCGTGAAGAGCAGCACTCGGAATCAGCGTGACAGTCGTGTTAATCAGAGTGTTTTTCAAAGGCCGAGGTTGAACTGACGCTTTTCAATTACAGGATCTCGTAATCCAATGTACGGACCGCCACTTTAGCCCCAGGACTGACCTGCAAAGCCACCAGGAATGCGGAAATGTGGCTTTTGTCAAAGCGATCTCTCCTCTGCCAGGCAGGAGAGATGTGAGAGCAGAATGGAGCCTTCCTCGTGGCTACCATGTGGCTCGTCATACTTCTGTGCCCCATGGTCCTCGCTGCGGTCTGTCAAGGTCATCCGCCCTAGTCAAGTGGTTCAGCACTGCAGTTCTGAGTCTCTCTGGCTTTGTAGTCACTGTGCCGAACACTTGAAGAGATGAGTTGAGATGCTCTTGAGCATGCTTTACCCCCCCTCCACCACATCTTCCTGTCGTCCCTCTCCCCCACGCGCTGAAGTATTTAATAAGGGATATTTAAGGAAGCTTCCTTCTAGTCCACCACTTCCAGGAGGCCCTGGGGAGGCGCGGTTAACTATTTGAGTTTGAAAAAGTGTTTTAAAGCCTCTTCTATAGCCGGATATAATCTCTTGTGGTGTGGTGTGGGCAGATGAGCTAACCCCTTCCCCTTAATTGGCCTTTCATTGTTTGCTGCCAGCCGCTCTGCGACGTCTCCGTCCTCACTGGGATATCCGTTTCCCTACTGCCTGTTCCCGGATGGCTGTTCTTCTGTCTTTGCAGGCAGCTGATGCACATTTTCTCTGTCATCCTGAGCAGCGTTGGGATGGGATTTTCTTCCCAGTCCTCTTGAAGGAAACTGCAGGTGTGTTTGCCCTCAACGGGAGGCTCTAGCTGTGACCTGGCCTTCATCTCAATGCCACGTCAAGCCTCTGGCTGGTTTTGTCCTTGCAAATCCCCTATTGCCTCCCAGTACAGAGGTTGATAGAAAATTTAACCTCCCACCCACCATTTATCTTCCCCAAAACGGTTTATAACTCTTCCCTTCTAGATGGAGGCTACCATGGGCTGTTGGCCTGCATAGCTGCGTGCCCAAGAGCAAACACTGTGGTTTGGCATCTTGTAGCAACTTGTGTTCATTCCCTGCTTACTGGGGCATTGGGGAATTGCCGTGCAAACCAGTTTTCTTACCGTGTTGCGCCTGCTGTGGTTTTTGACAGCAGGGTAGGCTCTGCTGGCAGCAAGCTTTCAGCGTAGTTAAGCAAACCGGCCTGAAAAGTAGGGCAGCTGTGTCCTGCCAGAAGCTTGGAATTTCCTTCAGTATTGCCAGTTATCGGCTGGTGAAACTAGGACACTCTTGGGTAGTGGTTTCCTCTTCATTGATGATTAAATAAAACACATTGCTGTTTTGGAGGCTCTTTTAATGGCATCGGTGGTCGTGAGAATCTGAAGGTATCGGCGAGGTTACCTAAAGAGAGACTGAGGCTGAAAGCTGGGTTTTGCTTTTATTTTTCTGTTTAGCAAGGTTTCTGTGCGTAATTGGTCAGATTGCAAAACGTAAACACCTTTGCTAAGGTAGATGCAAGCCCTGGACAGAAGTTGACATGCTTAGAGCCGCGCTCTGTTGGCATTCAGGGGTGATTAATACGTCTTTCCGCCGATTGATGACTCGGCAGCTATATTGCAAAGGGAAGGCGAAGCGCAAGGAGGCTAGGCTCTGCTCTGCTCCGGCGAGTCCTTGGGTGCATGTCGGGCAGGGCAGGGACTTTTTTGTGAAGGAGGGTTGTTGCAGCAAGCAGCAGGA